ACTGTTTCTGCAGTGTAATTAATTGTGGTCGTTATATAGTTACCTGAACGTACATGAAAAATGCAGAAAACTGATCCAAAATATGTTAAATTATATCATGAAATGCACATGAGTTATGTATTAAATTATAACGGTAAAACTATCATTATTTCAAGGCAAAACTAGTCGATGAAGCCGACAGACACCTATAACATGCCGTGACGGCTATAAAAAAAAAAAACCGAAGAACGCGAGCGTCTCACCGTGCAAGGAACTGTTACAAATGTTTCAGAAATATAAACTTTTAAGTTTGTTGGTAACATTATAATGTAATATTCCAAAACTATTACAAGTCTTTGCGAAACATATATTTTTGAAAATTGTTTATTTTTCGAAAAACCACTCCATCTATGTGAAATAAATACGTTGTAAAATATGTTTCGTAGATTACATCACAATAACTATATAATTCATGTTTTTATGTAAACAATAATTTACCAAATATTCTGTTTTTATAATATTATCGTATGGGTCTGTTTATTGATTGATTATCGGCCGCTGCGAATCGCAATGATAAAAGACAATTATTATACATTAATACATTATTACTCGGTGTCTCCGCGTAAATCTTATACGATTTGAGGTTATTTGTTCAATTGTTAATTTAATAAATTATGTGACTGCGTACCATTGCCTTTTGACTGCAAGTTAGTGCATCTGTATACTGATCTGTACTATACAGATATAATACGGCTATAATAGACTAGTAGCTGGCTATATACTAATCTATGGCTGCAAGCATCAAGCATTTCAAATACTTTGAGAAAGGTAAAACTTTTTATAGTTCAATTAATTAAAATAAATACATTTTTGTTCCAAATTACCTGGTAAGTTGGCGTTACTTGCATTCATTGTGCATGTACAATTAAAAGTTCTATACTTCAAGTATACTGCATTATTAAATTTATCTAGTATAATTTTTAAATATATAATATTTAAAGTAATTTATATTATAATAGGTATTGGGTAAATTGTTGTTGTAGACCCAAAAAACACGTGTTATGTGCAAAAAAATTACATTTTGGTATTAATATTTTTTAAATAAAAATCTTATAATCTAATTAAACTAACTGAAAATGTGTTAACAAATATGATTTTTTAAAAAAGCTTAGTTAAAAAAATATCTTATGTGCAAGACGATGTTGCAAAACTGTACATAGATAGAATAGTTTGCTGGACGAATCTTACTTTGATTTTTTTTGGTATCAGTTACATTTAAGTAAAATTGATTTCAATATTATTTTTATTTTGTTTTATTTAATTACCTACTATACCTAGGTACCTATTACATAAATATTCTATTAAAACATTAACTATCACCTGCCATATCCTTTCAGATTCATTAAAAAAAAACAAAATTGGGTAGTTGACATATTTTCTCCTACCAAAGACTATAGCGTAGTTCCAATAAACTGGCTTATTGAAACAGAAACCCAAAAATTATCTATCAGTACAATAAAATATTGTTATTGGCCATCTACAAGGGTAACTAGTATAGATTTAATAGATACTATTGATCCAGATCCGTCTTGGCTGCAATATAAAATCCGTGTAGTCGGAGTCAACAAGACTTACAGTATGTAAAATCCAACTTTCAATACAAAGTCATTAATGAAACATTTAAATTTTAGTTGATTCACTAAAATGGCAATTTTGATTTTTTATATAACCTATATAGGTAATTTCAATAAAGCTTGGCATGAATAAATTGAAGTAAAATCGACAGACAATGAGAACGTTTTAAATCATCCATTTAAAAGAAACAAAAAGAGTAAAACTGTGGAAACTAGTGATATTAATGAAAATGAAAGTCAACATTTATTAGTTTCTTAAAATTATTAACATTACTTTTTTTATAAATAAAATATTTTGTCTGATTTATTCTTTTTTAAGATTCGAGTTATACCATTGTGCCTTGTAATAATCAAAATTAATTACTGTTTAATACAACAAAAACTCAACAAAATTCAATATAAGCACTTATTTCTAACCAAAAAACATTTTATACAAACTTAAAACCGTCTACATCAATCTCTACACATGGCAATGGTTTTTCATCAGTTGAATTAAATCTACCTAGTTCCATTATAAGTATATAAGTATATAATTATATGCTTTACACTGGTATAATTGTCTTAAAATCAAATGTAAAAAAGGAACAATATAATAACTTCCTTATTTTGTTTACATCTATTAGAATACTGCGTTCAGATAAAATGTTTAATACACATAGTGATTTAGCTTCAAACCTTCTAATAGAATTTGTTCAAAATTATTCATGCATTTATGGTTCAAAATTTGTCAGCTACAACGTCCACAACTTAATTCATTAGCCTTTTTTTTTTATAATTTGCATTGGCTAATAGATAATTTTAGTGCTTTCGAGTATGAAAATTATCTTAAAAAACTTAAAACATCAATGAAATGTTGTAAATTTCCACTTGCTGAAATTCTAAATAAAATATTAGCATCTGAAGGTGAAGAGTTAAAAATTGTTTTAAATAATGATTTGTTTATTTTAGATTCTTTTAAAATAGATAAAAATCTCTCAAATTTTAGATTCATTTATTACAATAAAATAACTGTTAAAAAAAATAACTATATCGTCTGCTGTGATAATATTAAAGATCAGTGTGTTATTCTAGAAAATGAGGACATTGTGATGATAAAAAATATATATAAATTAAACTCTAAAAATTATAGCACAATTAAACTATCTGTTGTTAAATTTTTAACTGTAAATAATTTTTTTACACAATCTATACTGAGTAGACTCGTTGGAGTGGTTTCTGTTAAGATTTCGCTACTTCCTATCGCTATTTCATATTTTAATTCTAGGCAACGCATAACTTTTAAAAATAATTTTCCTAGAACCAATTATGGTTACGCATCCCCCTAAATCGTACTTTTCGCATAATAAATAATATGCATAAAACTGATTTATTTTTTGATCCATTGTCTTATTTTAAGAATAATATTTAAATCCTACATTTTTTCTACCCATTATTTAGCTATGTTTTCTATGTTATAAATGTTTAGTAAGTTTTAAGTTTATATGTTCATCACATTCACTATGTATTCAATTAATATCTATCAATGTAACTTACTTTTTTTTTTTTTTTTTTTTCAATCTTTAGATTGGTTAAATGACTTTGATGGTTCTCCACTTATCCCTATCCATTACAGCTACTTTTAGTTCCTTATAGTTGGTTTCCCCTATATCGTCTATGATTTGGTTCATAAATGGTGTTCTTGGTCTACCTCGTCCAATGTAACTTACTCTTAATTATTTAAGTTCCACTGTACTATTTATCTTATTTAAATTATCCCATATTTTCTGTAATTATGCCCTTTCGGCGTTGAAATTTAAATAAATAAATAAATAAAAATAAAGACAGATCACATATCTAATGCTTATAAGATAAATGTAAATAATATTATATTTAAGGGTTTTTTTGTCCAACTTACAAATAATGAAGCAATTGTTATTTCACTTTGTCATAATATGTGATTATAAAAAATATTTAATTATTGTACCATGCATATTTAATATTATGAAGCACTGAGATTAGAATATTAATTTATTTTAATAAAAACTATTAATAATACTTGTATTATATATATTTTTTTTTTTTATATAAATAAATTTGTAAGACTACTATAATTTGTGTTTTTATTTTTTTCTATCAGTAAATGATACATAAAAAGAAGTATATTATTTTAGTAATAATTAGTGTAAGCAAGACCCCCCTAGATTACTAATACTATTATAGCTAGTAAAGTAGTAGGCTTGAATGTTCCTAGAAACCTTTCAAAAAATATAACTGGAACATAAAATTTAAAACTATTCATTTGAATTCCGAATTAACATTTCAGGAATAGTTTTAAAAACGTGTTACAATCATGTTCCCGAAAAACTGTTTACGAAATATAGCCTGGTTTATAGTACAGTGATGTTGCAATAAAATGTGATGTTTTTATTTTTTATTTATTTTTTTTTTTGTCTGACCATATAGAGTGTGGGTCTTTAAGACGGCTTTGCCGAATCGCCGCTATTATCGATTGCGAAAAATAAAAAACGAAAACCTCACATTGTAAATCAAGTGATACCTCTCACCAATAGATACGTACGCCAATTAAACTGATAAATTATGTTTTACGAACAAAAACCGAAAATTAAAACGATGACATACGAGTATGTGGTAGAGAAATACGTCACTATGGTATACCTATTATAGTATAGTTTTATGTCATGCAACCTTTATTACTTTGGCCACTCGAAAGTTTACGTGCTTCAATCCCGCCGTTAACATGTTTTCGAAAAATACTCTATAATTTTTAAAAGAGACTAGAAACCTGCAAGGAAAATTCAAAATCCCGAAAAATAGCCCAGTTTGGATAAGGGTAATGTCATTTTCAGTTTAGTAACTGTGAAAAAAATAATTTTAAAAAACTTGAAAACCAATCCACGTTGCGTACGATTTCCCAACTGTTTCCTTATTATTACAATATTGACCGTACGTTTACAATGAACCAAGGCGTATGGTTACTATGCTTTAAAGAGAAGACACTTTTTTATCGTTCGACTATCAAGAATATTTCCAATCGATGATTAAATATACGTGATTTCAACAATTGTTAAAAAAAAAAAAAAAATAGTCGCGATATTATTATAATTTATTATAAACAAGTGGACGTACAATCCGTCGTGGTTACAGTTACTGGAAGAGGGGAATAACGAAATCTTATCACGATGAACTGCTGAATTCCATCGCACGCTTCATCACGTGTCTCTTGTACACGCATATAATGATATAATAATAATAATAATAATATACATATTATAATATTATATTTTACATATATACGAATATCTAATTAGATATTTCGTCCTCGGGCTGCCACGGCGGTGGCGGTGGTGGAGGGGCAATGACGTTTATTCGACCGGGTCGCCGCCCAGGTGCTCCTTCGTCTTCTGCGTCGTCCGCGAGCCCGCAAATGCATCGCGCGACCGGAGGAGCCACCGTCTCAGTCGCACACGTTTCCTTCTAACGTCGGGCGCTCACAAACACTGTATCGTCGCCGCCACAAATCATTTCAAGTCCGTAAAACCGTACACACACACACACACACTCCATTCGATCGTATTATAGTATAATCGATACGCCGCACCAAAGTCCAGCAGTCGCCTCCGAAGTTTCCAGCTCAGATATCCGCGCCTACTCGAACCGCTGTCACCAGCAGACATGAAGCCGTTCAATCTCACGGTAAGCGTATACGTGGTATATAGGGTTAATTGTAATGTATATTCAATGTAACCGAATAACAGTCGTTAACAATAGTATATAACCGAACAAGATTGAGCGCACGCGCGTGTGTGTGTAAGCGGGACAGGGAAGGATTCGGTTAGCGACGTGCCTCCCTTCCCACACGCCCTGGGAATCGACCGTCTTGCTGTGTGCGGGATGTGTTCTACCAGTGCCGTTTTACATCTATACGATATACATGCAAATTTAAATAATACGTCGTACATAGTCGTGTAGGTTTTCGCACCACTATAACTTACGTATTTTTGCACGTCGCGTCGTGTTCAGTGATCACCTGACAAAAATAACGAATCGTTCGACTAATAATTCAAAACGGACATCCGTCCCCATCCCTATCCCGTTAATCGTAATAGCTACATGAAGATTGACGAAAATAACGGTGCGGTTCCAGTATGGAGCGTTTTGTAACCATACGTGATCACTTTTCTGTTTACTCGTATATTGTAACAATTGGTTATCACGTCAGTTTCCCCGAACCACAAAGTTATTATACCTATTATTACGCATTAATTTTTTTCAACGATGGTAACGCGTTCTTCTTACAAACGTCCACATACCACAAATTCTATGCACGAGAGTATATGCGCGAGTATTAACCCTCCATGTGTGCTGTATTAATATAATATTGTGCGGATTTTTTTTTTTTCATCTCGACCGTGGGTGAAGGTCGAGGCCTCGTGCTAAGAGTGGTCATGCGTGGGGTACATACTGCTGTGCTTTACATTAGCGACGAAGAGTAGAAAAACCGGACCGTCCAATTTAATTTTTTTTTTCTATAAGAGAGAAGTACAACTTAAAACTATATTATCGACGAGATCGTTGTATAATTATTCATTTTAACGATGTAATCACAAGACTATATTGGATGCCATCCTGTCTACAGGATTCAACAAGGTCTCCTGGAATTAATTTCCTGATTTAATTTTTTTCTTTCTTATAAACCACTAGAATCTACTAGGAATACACAAGTAACAATTAAAACAAAAATAAGTGAATTATATACTTTGTTGGCATAACTCAATAAATCGCGTTAAATCGATAAAAAAAATGTTCACGTTGTCCAGCCTTGTAAGGAATTATCCCATATCCACACGGTTAAAACGTATGCGCAAGAACATGAATACGAAAAACGAATTTAAGTGCAATTTAAATACAATCTGTGGTAGAAAATGTGTATGTTTTTATAGCCAATGTCAAGAGGTTATTCGTAATATTTTTCTCATTCGTCTTACTCGATCAATATGACGTTTATTTATTACACGCATCGATGTACATAGAAATGCAAATACTATAGTGTATGTCATAATATATGTTGATTTATTATTTAACGTATAACGAGCCAAAGGAATGTTTCAAACTGTTAATATTACTCGAATAACTTGTAGAAGACGAAACATCGTCGATTGAAGAATCAACATGAGGCTAATGGTTGTATATTTTTCCTTTCGATATTCCAATGTCCTATAAAATCATGACAGGCAAAAATTGTGTACTTCGAACAAAGCACGAAATGAATATAAGTGATTGTACCTATTAATGATAATATTGAAAAATCATCGGAACGCATAGAACACGATAAATACTCGTACGCAATAGCGAATACATCCGAAATCTATTCCTCGGAAAAAGTAAACATATCGAGTGGTGTGAACAGCAATAGCTATAATGTGTTTTCAGAAATCCGATATCGTCAAACTACGTTTGTATGCTGTAAAATTCAACGGTAGAAATTAACAGCAAACAAAAACATTAAATAGGTTCTAAAGAGCTATTAAAATCATCGAGCATCTATTCACCCACTGGGTATGGATAAACTTCAACTGCTGATACGAGTAGTTTAGATTTTCTTTTCGTCATTACCGTCGCTCGCGGTTATTGCATATATATATATATTATATTTTTACGGTTTATCGGTTCGAAACGTACTTCGCCGTCACAGGTAATACAGCCGACGGCGGTGACGAGAGAGTAGTTGTACTGTAGTATAATGCGAAGTCGGGCGTTTTACAAAATGTTTAATTTAATTTGAAACAAGACGTCGGTGAACCGAACGTAAACGCACTACACAATGCGCAAAATCGAAACGTAATATTCCTTATCCGAAATCGTATTAATTCGGTACACACAATAACGATAATAAATGACGTACGGCTGTAGTTCTCGGCGAATGCGATTTTCCGTTGTTAAATGCCCCGAACAATGGATGGTGTATAGCGGAATATCGGCTTGATGTCTTCATTGTCTTTTTCCCCGTTCGCGTACAACAACTGACCAGTTTGACTCGCACTGTTATATACGACGTGTGCGCGCGTCGCGCGTACAAAACAATGCGAGATAATGCGTGTAGGTAATATAATAATATACGTATCGTCGTATGAATGTAACCATTTATACACCGGTGCACAACAGCCGTTCGGCGAACGAATATTACACTCCGATGCGAAAGCAATAATAATTAACATCGAAATAGCGTTTTAATCTCCCGCGATTCACACTGGGTCGGAACAATGCACAGCCGTACGTACGGAATAACATTATTTGAAAGCCGAACGGGTCACTGAATCATTTTGATTTTTCACAATAAACGCGCGTATTTTTTCACACATGCAAAAAATCGAACGTTTCGGTGTCGATGGAAATCTTTTTTAAAATCTATCGATCAAGGTCAAATGATGGCAGCTGGACCAGCAGCCATGTAATATTATACTGCCATGCAAATATGTTTAAAAAGATTCCGATGAATTTTGAATCCCGCGAATATTCGCGGGGTGCAGAAATTACGTGGTGCTATACTCATAAATAATGGTGTAACACGTAATGCGTAACACGTAATGCGTACTTGCATGTACTTGGAATCTTTTTCCACTTTGAAAAAATATTAGTTATATCAAGTATAACGTATTGAAAACAGTGCATATGAAGTATGACTAAACAACTTTCAACTAGTTATTATTAAACTAAATATTAAATTATTAATTTAAAAATTATTAATTAGTTATTAAAAACTAAAAGTTTAAAAGAGAAAACAGTTAATGATTTTAATTGTAATTTCATTCCTCTTTAGAAAAAACAAAAAAGTTCTGAAAATAATGCTATAAATAATTACACATTTAAATTAAAAAAAATATATATATGTTTGAAGTCAAACAACTAAAAAATTAAGCATGTACTATAATGATATTTTCATATATATATATATATTGTATATAACTCAATCGGCTAAGTGATGCACTTTAATATAAATACCGTATCCGTGTCGGTCTACGGACGATAATAATTAATTCTACCTTTCGAAACAAAATACATTTTTATACACTTATAATCTACGGTCCCATAGATTTTTTCTCTGCAGAACTGTTCATTGAATGTGTATTTCATTCCATAATTCAGTGGATTTGTGTTGTATAATTCTACTTATTGAATGCACCCATATCATGAAATTGAAGTTAAAGTATACAATTTTATGATCCAATGTTTTAACGTTTAGTGAAATCTTTACATTTTATTCGACAATTATTTCCATGACTTGCGCTTTATGAACACAACAATGCATTTGATTTGATAAATTTATCGTTATTAAATATGGAAGTAATTATCGTAAGAAATTATCTAAATACATAAAACATCGTTGTAGGGAATAATGAGTCGAATATTTTTTAATTCAAATTTTCCTAAGACTTTACGGACAAAACACATCGTATTAAATTTCTTAAAAATACATTTCTCATAATTATAACTTCATTGCCTCGAAATGCAATAAAATTTCATAATATTTTTCAATAGCTTTTTCTTTCACACAATCCTTAACTTGATCCTCACTTAAAATGTATATATATGTATATGTTTTTCGTTTAACCATCAACTGCCCGATTATCGTGTTCCAAGTAAGTAACACGTCCACAATCCGCAAACGTATCGTTTCGCAGATCTCGAAGACTCGTCAGCGACCACCGCGCACACGTAATGTGTGTTTACCACACGCATATTAATGCTGACGGGAAACCACGTAGTCCTCCCACGTGCAACGCGCTCAGCCATAATATGGCGTATAATACATTATTATTTTTATTACAGGTGTATATTATTATCTCTTCTATCGTGAGATGATTATTAGTTATGTCGACGACGGACGCGACAGTAGTTTATTTTCACCGACGCGTAGGCCGACGTTGCTTTAACACCAACAAGGCTACGCGATATTATGATAACAATAATAATAATAAAATGTTAATCAAAATCACCATAACAATAATAATAGCAAACGGAAAAAACGAAACCCGTAAAATATGAATTAATATTATTATTTTTCGTTCTCGTCGAGTAGGTAAAATACCTATTCGTCGCCGTCACCCGGGCGTCGATCGGTTCGGGAGTCATTGGCCCTGAGGTCAACGCACACGCCCCGCCGCCCCACACCCCGAACCAGCGGTGGCGGTCGAGGCTAAACGTCCAAAGTTCACGTGTTAATCATAACACGCAGTAAATTACGTCGTTTCGTATTCTTCTTTTTTATTCTGTTTTTTACGGGTGACGAATAAAAACGAAAACCATAAACAAATAAATGAAAACACTTACGAACGTGTTATTATCACGCGCTTACAATACACGTGGACAAGATCGCCGTGAGACGCACTTCTTCAGCCACCCGATCGTTGCGTTTCCGTTCTCTGGACAAATAGACCGTAGCCCGCACCGGAGTCAACAATAAAAACGCGTCCGATCGCTTGTCTCCTCGGGAGATGATTTTTTCCGTTCCGACGACCGACGCTCGTGAAAAAAAAACCCTGATAAGAATTCACTACGGTCGCCGTCCCTCGTCACCGTCGGAACACCGAGTGAACGATTCCGGTACACGTGCTACGGTAATGCGCTTCGGTTCTACCCCTAGCCAGGGCTTGACTTGAAGGGGGACGCAGGAAAACGGAGTACCCCTACTAATT